GTTGACTTAAACGATTACATTGAGTCAATGACTTGCATTATTTAAATGTGATTTGTAATGCATTTCTTTTTCGTTCTCTCATTTTAACTGATTATGAGTTTAACGTTTTCATTGTTTCAATGCAAACAATGTACATAAAAAAGTTGACAAATACATATCACTCAACATATTTGTGATAATAATCATATAAAATTCTGATAGGGAAAAACTAACATCGTTATATTTATATATATTGCGAGGGGTAAATTGCCCGATCCTGGGGCCGGGGTAGCTCATAAGAATATTTATACTACGTATTTCAAGTTCTTTATAATATTCAACAATTTATTATTTCGTATTTCACTTCGAGTTAGAAATTATCTCCGTATTTCTAGTTTACAGCCTAACGAGAAGTCTGGTCTCTCGTGAGCCTCGCGACCGACTCCCCTCACTTACTTTCTCCTAAGTCAACCAGACCTTGGTTTTAAAGCTAATTCTATGTAACTAGCTATAATTTCTCTTTTCTCAACACCTAATTCTCTTAGCGTAATCTTAGCTTACTCTTAGTCTAATTAATTCTACCAGGGCCCTCTTATTCTACCTTAACTCTAGCTCTATTACTCTACTTGATGCTCTTATATACTAACTTCCACGAACCTAGCCTAACTTAACTCTAGCCCCCCAAAATACACTCTACCAAAGTGCAATAAAACTTAAGCTGTAATCAGAACGTGTGGGCAACGGTCCACGAATAAATTCTTGGACGGAACTGTATGGTAATGATCAATAAAAATTACCTTTGCAAAGGCGTTACCTTCACCTTAATGATCTTATTGTGCCGTCGCTCAGACAAATGTCCAGAAACTATTGTCTCCATCTGCAGACGGCCCTCTACTTTGGTTGCTAGAAGAAGAAAAAGCAAGCGGAAATGGAGAATACGATCATCTTCCCGTGAGGGGTACATAGTAAATTTGGCTATTCATTTTCATAAGGCGTGTAGCCATGACTTCTTACTGATGAGTACAGTGCAATAGCTATCCACAATCTCTTCTACCCTAACCTTGAATGCAATGGGGACTCAAAATAGTCGGGAGAGTCTACGATCTTATTTCGACGCGATATGTATCGTTCGTGGGTATAAAAATGGACATTTATTGGGTCAAGTAGGTGTGCTTGCATGCTTATGCATGCATTTCAGTTTGTTGATACTGATAAAATTCATTCCTAAATACTGCCCTTATTCTCGGCGTTTTCCCAGAGTTCCATTTTGGGTAACCTGCTTTTCATTGCGCATGTTAATGGCCCTCCAGAATATGTTGGCGCCAGTGGTTATAGATTATGTCTAATTATGGCGTTCTCGAGTCAAACGTTAATCGTAGTCTTAGTCATTTTTTGCAATAGTTATCGGAGAACTCGTTATTTATGTAGTGCTGTGCATCATCTTCCTGGAGTCAATGTTTGAATTGAAAAGAATAGAAAAGCGATTGTTGAACAAATTAGGCATATGTAGCGATGACCGTTTCGCTTTTAAAAATCATATTCATCAGATGTGCTGTAAAATTTCGATAATTCTACGCAGAATATATTCTGCTAACATGTATTTACCTCCACCGATTATATCCAAACTGACCTTTTCGCTCCTATATGGCCTACGAGTTGGGTCTGGCAACTTATTATACCTTATACTTCCTCTAGGTTAAGTCGTGTTACTAACACTATTATTCGCTATGTTTACACACATGTATATTTCTGAACGTGTAAAGCTTTCCCTAGGACATAGTTTCACGTATTTTATATCATGTCGTAACTTGATACTTTCCTTTAGAATAACATGGTCTGTTGCCTCAACTTTGCTCGGAATTTTCCTTTACTCATTCTAGTAGAAATCTACTGATTTATTATTTCTAGAATAAGATGCAAATTTTTTGACCGAACTTCTATAGTCCGAGTTGCTCGATGACGGAATTACTTACCACTTGGTCTTCGTATCGTTCTCTATATCTTCTCCAATAACAGATTTCGTTGAAAAATCTTTCAATATCTCTTTACTACAATGTATGGCACTTTAGTTGTGTTTATCTATCTAATCTGCTGCTTAACAGAAATGTTAGACGGACATTTTGCTTTGTTGATTTTAAAAGTTGGCAGCCGTTATTCTAATGCATGCTTATTTATATGCAACACTTATATACGTGAAAAAGGCCAACTTTTAGTGTTGCTGCAGCTACTTCTTTAGAACGTGTTTCTCTAACTTTTGTCTAATTTTTTTTTTTAATCTCTTTACGTGACTGAGAAGCGTACATACATATATATAAATATTTATATTTAAAATTATAATTTGTAGATCATAGTATCTGCCTTTGCAATATATGTTTATTGGCTTTTTATGTTACAGTAAATTGAAATAAATAAATAATCTTTATATATTGACTATGTCTTCTAAGTTATTAAAGGAAACCTAAGGAATAAAGGCCAGTTCTTTTGCACGAACTAAACTAAATTTTTCCTTTCGTCCAAAACATGCACCGATACACATAATTGGTTCCAATTTGGTCTGAGAAGGTGTAGTCCATATAGCCCTCTATTTGTCCACTTTCGTCTGCCGATCGTGCAATATGGCAAAAGTTGAAATAGGAACAGGAAACTCGATAGGAGTTTCTAGGTAAAACGCCTCAACACTTCACTTCGGTAAACAATCAGTGTGGAGTAGAAATTGATCTAAGAACTTTGCATAAATATATACAAAGTCTGGCACAAAGGCCAGTTTGCCGAACCTGATACCCTGTCAAATATTCGTACAAACAATTACTTCTTATTTTTATCTCAAATATGCCAGTCTGAGTAAGGATCAGAAGACTACAGATTCGACTATTGGTATAGTCGCTGCCACCCAGCTGTGGTTGCCGTTTTTTTTAGTTTCAGAAATTAATGCGTTTCGTTTGAAAAAATGTCAAGAATACCACAAAGACTATGTGCACGTATACATATGAACTGAATGAGAAATGCAAGTGCATCTTCCTCTTCTTTGTTTATGATTTACTTGGCTTAAACCGCATTAATCAGTTTTGTCTTTAATCTGCCAGTACATGCGATTCAGTTTTATTTCTTGCACACAACAGCCATAATATTTCAGAACTTCATTCGTTGCTGATCATCCAGCTTCTTGTTAGAAACTGAATTTCGCGCCACTTGTGATTGATATTAGAATCAAATCTCATTGATAGTTAGCAGCTTGGTACATAGTCTAGTAAATCACGGCCATACTTGTCTTGCTTCTATTAATAAATACATCGATATATGACCGACCTTGGTGATCCGATCCTCTGTGCATAATTAAATTACACACACGAGTAGTGAGACCAACGTTAGCATATGCCAGTTCGCTTTTATTGGATACTTTACACTTGAGGCTTTCTAGGCTCTTCGCCTAGTTAGCGAAGTCGGGAGCTCCACTCACACATCGCCTTCAGAGCGAGACGTGACTCCTCTATTTATATGAAATGGTTCGATTAAACGCTAAAATCGTCGTTAATAGGATTTTATCTGCAGAGAACCATCTTGTTATACCATTCATAGGCGATCTCATACCACTCAGTCTCTCTCATTTATTTTCCAATTGTTTTTGCTGAAAAACTCAATGACTCAATAATATTTTACAATCACTCCATCAACATATGTGGAGCATATCAGACCGTCAGATCATTCGCTTTATGCATGTCTGAATCTTAGCGCACCCACTCGCTAATCTATGCTTCTTAGATGGGCGCAATGTGACCTTTATGATGTCAGTGTTTTTGATATATTACGCTCCTGGAATTTCCTCGTGTAATGTGGCATCTAAACGTGTAAAGAATAAGGGTCATCGCTCTACAGATTGTTTTGTTGGTTTCTTGCCTTTGCTGGTATTTCGAAGTCTTTGTCACTTGTTCGCTATCAAAGTAAATAGACAAACATATACCAGAACTAACGAAGTGAGTAGCAAAAGAATCAAGCAGGACTTATTAAGTGTCAAGCAAAGTACCTCGTGTTCAAGCTGAATTTTTTGCAAGTTCGAGAAAGGAGGATAAAATTTCCGTGAACTTTTTGTTTCTAAAGTTTTAGTTATTAAAAATTTTAAGATCAGATAAAAGTCTTCTATTATCTTAATGAAGGATCCTTGCTTAAGAGTGACACACTTTTTTACTTTCTCTCAGTAAATCGAGCATAACGTCAGCTATAACGCCATGCTGCTGGAATCATTTGTTTTGAATGTCTTTTGAATGTCTCTATTTCTCGCCCTAAAAGTTCGGATACTACGGGTTTGTAGCGGTTGCAATTGGAGGGGTAACTGTTCGCCTCCCGTCATCTCAAAAGAGATAAGGTCCAGTTCCGTGCTGTAAACCTCACTATACAGTGAGCTTTCCTGAATGCAATGACATTTGTGGGTTCTTCTTACTCCGACAAGGATAATTTAGCATATTGTCGAAGTCGCATATTATTGCGTTTCGTCGGCAATGGTTTTTCTACTGTAAAAACGAAAAAAGAAATAAAATTTTTTCATTATAATTATTGTCTCAACGAAACAGCAAATTGTACTGGATATTTTCGCACTTGAAAGTACACAACACAATATATATCTGAAAATGATAACTACATTTTTAAAAAGTAATGCTTTTAGTTGAAGACGTGCTAAAGATTGATAGAATCGGCGAAAAGAGAGAGAAAAAAAAAAATCATACTTAAAGGTGATGTATACGAGTATTAACTAAAGTGAATTAAAATTCATTTTCAAACTGAGCAACAAACAAATAATATTTAGCGAAAGAAAAAGACTTCTCTTACATTCTGAACAAAGGCGATGTAGTGAACAGTCAAACTGAATGAATCCTATTAATGGAAGAAATGAAAATGCAACTAAGCTAAGCGGCGAACCTTTAAATATAAATGAATTGTGTATTTAAGCGCTTCAATCTAAAGACTTAACAGCTCAAGTTTAAATTTTTAATTTGTTGTTGTTTTTATCTTTTTTCTGTTTCTTTCAGCACTAATTGGATTGATATCAATGCATTTACCTCTTAGTTGTCACGGTCAGCAGCAAAAATTTCGTGTCACCCCGCACGATTTGCAGGTGCTGGAGGGTGCTGAGGCAATGCTGCGTTGTGAAGTATCAAATTTAGCAGGAGCTGTGCAATGGACAAAGGATGGCTTTGCTTTAGGCTTTTCAGCGGTGATACCAGGATTTCCACGTTACTCAGTGTTGGGTGATCGTAAGCAAGGAGCTTACAATTTACGCATATCAAATGCTTCGATAACCGATGACGCTGAATACCAATGTCAAGTGGGTCCGGCCCGATTAAATTCGGCAATAAGAGCTAATGCAAAATTAACGGTGATATGTAAGTAATTTAAGTTTCCTTCACTCTATGTCCCACCAATCATTCTACACGTTGTAGGTGTTCTTTTATATGAAGAGTTAATGAGAGGATTTTGTAAAATTTTTGTTATTCTACAGCAACACAATTTTTCGTTACGTTTTGCTTTTAACGGTAACATTTGTGCTTACAAAACGATATATATGATGAAATGTAATTAACGTGATGTGCGAATGTCCGAATGCTTTATAATGTAAAATCACTTATCAGCCCCCCATAATCTATTGCTTAACAAATTTTCCGAATCGTTACTACAAATTCATTAACGCATTGTCTACTTTTTGCGTACTTATCGTTCGAATTGCGCAGAAAAAAAAAAAAAAAAAGGAAAAAGAAAAAAAAAAGAGAGGAAAAAAGGAAATAAAATCTGTACTTATTATGTGCTTTTGCTTATTGTCCGAAACGTACTGCATCACATTTATTGCGCACACTTTTTAATGTTCGATAGTAGTGTAGCCATTGTTGTCTTTGAAGCATTCTTCTCGTTATTTTCATCGTTTCACAATTCAAACGGTAACTGCGCTATTGAATCGCAAAATGTAATCAAATCGATTATTTGAAAAGATGGACAATTCGGTGGGAATTTGTTGTTGTTGTTTTTGTTTTTGTTTTTGTTGATGCATTTTGTTGTTTGATACGTGAATTCTGAATCAATTTTTGTTAAATTAAAAACTTTAGAGGAAAAGAGGAAAGCAATTTAATTAAAATTGTTGCAAACGAATTGTTTTTAACACATTATAGAATCATATCAATTTCAATTAGCAATAATAGATATCGTCGACATTAATTGCATTGACTTTCTCTTTTTTTTTTATTGCGTTATTTTTCCCTACGCAATTTTATATTTCTCTTATAAACTTATTTTAATATCTGTCCTACCACAGCTATCCACAGTTGGCAAATTAACTCTGTCATACTGTTTGTAAATATTATGTTCGCTATTTTAGATCTTATCGAATTCAAATAGACTAAGAGATTTCAATTATAGGGATTTTGAAGGTAAAGCTTGACAAATCGAATTATATATCTAACTGAAATTTTATACAAGCACTTAGTTTCCGGGCCAAGGAAGTCCTTTCGTCTTGAAGAGCCAGCATTCTCAAGCCCTATCCAGGAAAGAGAAAGTTAGAAATGCCCTTCTCTTGCTTAGATAGTGAAAGACATAAGAAACACTTTGTGTTTTGCAGTTAGATGAGGTCCCTCTAAAATTCAGTGTAGGTGCTAATCAATGTTACCTCAAAATTCGGGGAAAAAAATATTTATTGTCAGCCAAGCAATAAACCTACAGCTAATGTTACCCTCAAAATGCATGCATCTAGCGGCCGCACCTTTCAAACCAAGCTTTCATTTGCATGTGTAGTTAGGGGAACGGTTTCCGAGATTCGACCAAGACCAAAAGTAGTGTTCTTGCTTGTTTTTATTAAAAAAGTTTTAACCGTTTCCACTCAGAATGTATACCTACGAGTTTTTTTTTTATTTATTTTTATTTTTTTTTATTAAAAGTAAATGTAAAAAGTTTAATACATAAAAGTAATAGTTTCTTAATTTCCTTTTTTCCTTTTTTGTTTCTTTCTTAACGGATACAAATTTGTTTTAATTTTATTTCATTTAAAAATGCCTTCACTTGCGCTGTCAGATGTTAGAGACATTTGGAACTATACTCGGGTCGATACTCGCTCCAAAAATTGACTGATAATCAAGAGACATCCCTTGTTATGTTCACTTGAAAAGGAAACATTTTTACTTTTCTTTCTTCCTTCCTTTCTTACCCTTTCCCAAGCCAATCAGTTTTTTCATGTTCATCGTTGAGGTGCATTTGGTCCCTTTATGTTTGTTAAGTGCGTTTTTCTTACATGTTTTAGGTTTTTTCATTAGTCGAAATGAAAATATATTCTATTAACGATTCCCGTCTCTTTTGTAAATATAAAAACTTAACAACAATCACGTTCTGTCACAAATCATTGCAAATATTTACTCTACATTGCGTGTTATGCTACATTCATATATGCCATTAAGGGTCTAAACTGAAATTTTTATGCTAACATTGTCACGGCACAGGATAAACACAACACAACTAACTAATATACCATAAGTCCTTGTTGTCCTAGTAATCAGAACTACGGCGAAAGGATGCCATTCACATTAAAACTAAGCAAAATAATGTTTTTAGTGCAGTACATGTTTTCTCAGAAAATCTAGAAAAAAGAACCGAATTGTATGATTGAGACGTGAAGGATCGGGAAAAGTCAGGTAAATAGAGCGATTGCCCATAGAATCATCAAGCCAATGATCAATTAACCATTAATCGGGTATGAAAGCGACCGATAGTCAAATGATCGAAAAGCCAGTAATGTAGTCGTCGAGTAACACCTAAGCCATAAGTCAAACCGATACCAGTTTTGAATAGAAAAGCCGCTGATTAGGTAACCGAGTAATTACGAGGCCTGTAATTAAGTGGTAACTAACCATGTAACCAGTCATTGAATGATCGTGGGATCATTAATCACGATCGAGTAGCGATCAGTCCCTAAACGAAGGATCAAGTGGCTGTTAATCGATCCACCGACTAGCGACTCCCTTAACCAACTGCTCAGAGAGACATTAATTCAGGCGCCTAGTAGCCACTCATCAAGAGATCGTGTGCACACTAATAACTGGTAGTAGCTAATCATTCGTCTTCATTTCAGCCTAATGCTGATAGTCAGCCTTGTTCGAAGTATGGGGTCATAAGGTAGTGTAAAGTGTTTTGAAAAAATATTTGTACTGCAAAGACTATTAAGCCTAGTCATAGCCATATGTGTTCTTTCGCCCATCATCGCCCTCATTTAAATCAGGATAATATCTGTAAAACCTTGTTTAAGATAACTTTGCTTCAAAGTTTTCCTTATCACTTTCATCAAGTAATGTTAAAAAAATCGACAAATGAATAAAGCAAACATTATATCATGAACATATATGAAAGCTTATAAAATCCAGCGCGTGCGTATGCAGTAAGCAATTAACTCGATGATGATAACACTTTAATGATTTTTGCCAAATTAAAACTTTGTTCCAATTTTCCAAATATCGAAGAGATGTGCGGGATAAGATTCTTTTCAATTTTTAATATATTTCCGAAAATTAAGTTTAAAAAAGTTGTTCTTTGAGAGGAGGCAATTGCAACTCTGTGCAATTGCCAACACACTTTTCACATGTATTTGTCAATTTGTAATTGACGTTAGTAATAAATTATTCGTTGGAAAATAAGGAGATGTTTAACGTTCATGCTCGTGTCGTTACTTCTATTGGCTATCCTTCGCTATGCTTCGCAAATAGTTTATATGTGGCCATCATGATTGCCACGGGGTTGCAGTTTACCCCACTACCTTCCAACGATCCGTTTAAATATTTACAGCCCAACTATGAATCTACTCCTTCACATACTCTTTTAGTTTCGCATAAGATACTTGGACTTCATCACTTCTCACACTACGAAATATACTTTACGCTGTGTTTTCATGTAATCATTTGGAATGTGGATGAAGTCCCAGAGCACAACCCAGTAAATCGTTTGTTTCAAAAAGAAGAAAACTCTCAAATAAAAGAAGAAATTTAATCGAAACTCGGGAAGGATTCAAATTGTGGCGAATGTCGCATCATGCATAATATATACGTAGATGTCTATAAACATTGAGCGAATTTTATTAAGATTCAAAGGAAGAACCTCTCGCGCACATTGCTCCTTTGCTAGTCAACTCAGTAAGCCATCCGCTGTTGCTTGGCTGACTCACAGACGAAGAAGAAAAATATCGAACTCTTTCTGCAAATTCTTCTAAGTCTTCTAAGTCTTCCAAGAGTTCTTGTCTTTATTTTGAAGTTTCGACTCTTGAAGAATTTTATCTAATATTTGTTAGCGATTTACAGGCATAGTCTGAGTTAAGTCCGATGATCGTAGAATTTTCTTGGCATATTTTTAAAATAAAAATTCGTTCTTTTCCAAGTGCAACGCTCTCTTAAGTTAACTTGAAATCACTTAAAAACTTAAAATGGAAGAAAGTGTTCTTAAAAATTTTTTGGAAAATCAATCTTTATAACGCGTTGTATACCATAATTGCGGAGGACACAGCATACATACACACACACACACACACACACACACACACACACATTTTATACTCTCCTGTTAAAGATATAATTTCATAAAACCAACAATCATCATTCGTTAAAGAAGAATGAAAAAAAAAAAAAAAAAAATTCCCCCCATAGTCAACATCTCATTAAAATTGTACAATCAATTCAATAGGAAGTGCATGTACAATGCTTTAATGTATATGTATTTGTGTCGTAAGTTTAAGTTAAACATACAAGTCAGAAAGTAGGGCGTCATCTACTGAATAAGGAATCAAGCTGTCAATTGTCAGTTTTTGCTAACAATTGCAGTAAATCGTTGTAGTGCATATTTTGTATTGTACTACAAATGTCTTGCGTAAGTATATATGAGTATGTATGCACATAAATATGAAAAGAAAAGGCGGAGAAAAATAGTAAACATTATAGCATTGGTACCTACCACCATAAGAGAACAAGGAAGAAAAATATAAAAATAGGTCGCTAGGGAAGAAAAAATAGACAAAAAAATGGAGCATATAACTAATCTCTAGCTATGATTTTTTTTTTTACTATTTGGGAATGATTTAATTTTAAGAGTTTTGTTTTTCTTTTTCAACATTGTTCTGATCCTATTTTGTCTGCTTGTTATTAACGAAGTAGATCTTGTTGCTGCATTGGGTCAATTGTATACTGAAGAAAACTTGACAAGATGATGGGATACGATAGCGAAACTTGTCGTACTGTCATGTATCTAAAGTACTTAAGTTCGATTTAGATGGTTGGCAAACTGGGAACGAAGAAACGATTTAAAAAACAAAAGAAACTTTCCAGCTAAAATTTATTCAAATATTTGTGGATCCATTTCCGAACGTAAT